GAATCCCACCTCATACGTTTGTAACGCAGCCAAGATGGCATTACTGGTTGTGGGAAATTAGAGGGTATAAAGGTGGTATGGCTTTTAATTGCATGACAGACATACCAAATTTAGTGATATCACAAAATGAATCTAAAATAATTAGTGGGATGTACACATGTGAGCTAAACAGTGTAATAATAACATAAGACCACCTTTCCTTACAAAAAATAAAAGCAGGCTAAAAAAGGCATTCCAATGTTTATAAATTCAAAAGACCATAAACTTAATTACGTATACGTAAGAGCTCAGTTTTAATTGGAATAAACTTAAATAGTTACTTCTAACATTACGTGGCAAGAAAATTAGAACACAGAGGATTATGTTGTCACCTTTCAATAATTCTGTCATCGTCATCCACAATCATAACAGAAGCCTTGCGGACACTACTCTGATTGAAATCCTTGCTGAAGAAGTGATACTGCGTTGTTACCCAGCCCACGTACACATGAGTTGGGTCCTGTCCAGGGAAGATCCTTATACCATAGAAGTACTCATTGATGAGTCTGAGACATTCAGCATCGAATATCTCATTGCCAATAGATTCCACTCCTGAGACAGCTGGGACAGACATTACCTTTGGACTTCTGTCTGGGATGGTAGGTGGAATAATTTTCAAGTCCGTCTGAAAGCAATTTGTTTACTCACTAATTAATTTATATTTATTACTAAAATAAAATTAGCAGAATATGAAGTAACACACAACTGAATAAGAGGGCATAAATTCAACACCATAGATGGAAGTGTTTTTCTGCTTAGCCCCTAACTGCAGAATGCCAAAAGAATTAAAGAAAGTACATGAGAAATTTCTGCACAGAGGAACAAAAGTCTTAAAGTCTGTCATATCAAAATTAAACACCATCTGTAACAAGCCCTGAAGATGGATAAGGAAGCCATTATTCTTCTTTTTAGAGAAATAAAATCAAACTGTTTCTACTGACTTTTCCATAGCAACAGCACCAGAAGCCTCTGTTGACACTCGTACTTCTGCTTAACTTGACATGAAACCTGATGTAAATGTGTTGCTCCAACAAACTATCACTAGTTTTTCTTCCAAGACAAAAACACACGCTTGTGTAACTAAGCCACTGTTTCACCACAACTGCCTTATTTCCTTCACCAGCAAAAAAAACACATATCGCTGCTTAGTTATTACTCACTCGCTACTCGATGTAAAATGTATGCAGGCATTCTGGGAACTTAACTGTCACACCTCTTAAGAGTTAGCCAGTCCTAGTCCATTATCAGTTCTAAAGCATTTGGACTTACAGCTTACTTCCAGTTCCAAAACATAACCTTTTATTAAATAGAAGTCAAATGGATATTTCATGTACCTCTTATTACAACCTTATTGTATAGAAGCTCACCTGCGAGACCCTCACTTGTGGTGTCCGCACATGTAGTGTACTAGTGCGGCCCATGCCAACTGGTTTTCTCTCAGGACTGACATCTCCATCCATAGCTGGTTCTGGAGTTCTTCCCTTCTTCAGACGATCATTGCTTGCATCACGTTTACGAGAGAAGAATCTATGATAAAATTTATATTTTAAAATAATTTGACAGTTCCAATTACATGTAACTCTAATAAACTAATTTATTCATGCCCAGGGCAGCCTATATGGGATTTGTGGGGGACAAATTCGCATTCGGACTTGTTTTTCCCCGAGTTTTCCAGTTTTTACCTGCAAATATCATTTCACTGATGCTCCATTTTCATTCATGTATCATCTGGGGGTGGCC